TCTAAACTGTTATTTGTTTGGGTCGATATTACATATATAAACTGTTATTTGTCTGGGTCGATATTACATACATAAACTGTAATTTGTCTGGGTCGATATTACATATATAAACTGTAATTTGTCTTGGTCGATATTGCATATATAAACTGTTATTTGTTTAGGTCGATATTACATATATAAACTGTTATTTGTCTAGGTCGATATTACATATATAAACTGTAATTTGTTTAGGTCGATATTACATATATAAATTGTTATTTGTCTGGGTCGATATTACATATATAAACAGTAATTTGTTTGGGTCGATATTACATATATAAATTGTTATTTGTCTGGGTCGATATTACATATATAAACTGTAATTTGTCTAGGTCGATATTACATATATAAATTGTAATTTGTCTGAAACAAGTTAAGTCTACTTGTATATTCATTGATTTTGTTTTTTCTTTTTTTTAATTAAAAAAAAAGAAATGAAATGGTGTAAGGAGGCTCGAAAAGGGGGCACCGAGGAGGGAATCATTTACACCACACTTCAATGGACGACAAAACATAACCATCAAAATTCTGCACATGTCAGTAGATCGACTGGCCGGAACATGACGTCACAGCCGTAATGCCACAACGGGAAAAGGGGGGGGGGGGCTGGAAATTTGGAGTATTATGTACAGCGTTAGGTACAGCAATGGCACGACAAGCAGTGGCAAAGATGTCGGAAATGTTGGGAATGTGGTATTCCGCAGATACGTCTTATGTTGTTACACATAAACGTTCTGTATTTGCTTAGAGGGGATGGGGGTGGTGAGAGGGAGGGGTTGGGGTGCGGTTGCGGACTTTTTGATTTAAACTTTTTTTTTGCATCTATTATACAAATGGGATTGGGCACAAGTTGTCCAACTTATATAAAGCCTTTTCCCAATAACATATTATGATATGGAGGTTGGGGAGGGTGAGGATGGGGGCTCGATGCGTTTTATTATGTTCTGCAGACAACATATTTGCTAAGGACTACATCACGTACACATTAGAGTAAGTTTATCACATTGGACCGGGTGTTTGAGAGGCAGTAAGCTCAGTAATTTCAAAAAGGAATATTTTCATAATTATTGCAATCACTAAATTAAAAAAATGTACATTTTCCAATGTTTAAATATCTTAAAGTGATACATTTATGTTGAAAATTTTGATTTAACGGGGCTTAAGCGAAATGCACCTCAAACCTTTGTCTCTAGTGACGAAAAATGTTTTCAGAATAGCGGCGAGATCGTGGGGGTTGGCGGGGAGGGATGCCACGACACTATGCTAAAATGTTTACAAGCTCAAAGAAAAACGTTAGATTCGAGTGTGTCGTAATAAAATTATTGCCTTTTTACGAAATAGTTACAGACAGTTAAATATCACAAAGGTTTTCGTTTCCAAATTGGTTTTTACGAAAACCAAAGTAATTTAATCATCACTTGAAACACAATATTAAGGTTGTATGCTATCTTTATCTGTAACTTCTCCTAGAGTTATCTATCTTACAACTGTAATTTATAACATTAAAAATTCATATAATATCACACATTTTTGTGACTAGTAAAATGTTTCATCAATACGATATGCCACTCATAAACCCCCCAGAAAGTATAATTCTTTTGGAAAGACGATTATGTGAAGTAATGTAGTATATACCCTTAACTCAGATTAAAAATTTATATGAGGAAGTAGAAGGAGTCGGAGAACAAGGACAACTTAAACTAATAATTCCTGCTATAGAACGTAGGTCGGACAAGCAGACATGCATTCTACTGACACTGAAGCAGCAATTTGGTAACAATATCAGGGATATCGTGGTACAAATAACACGGATTACATGTATATCGTGGTACAAATAACATGGATTACATGTATATCGTGGTACAAATAACACGGATTACATGTATATCGTGGTACAAATAACATGGATTACATGTATATCGTGGTACAAATAACATGGATTGCATGTGTATCGTGGTACAAATAACACGGATTACATGTGTATCGTGGTACAAATAACACGGATTACATTATATCATGGTACACATAACATGGATAACATGTATATCGTGGTACAAATAACATGGTTTACATGTGTATCGTGGTACAAATAACATGGTTTACATGTGTATCGTGGTACAAATAACATGGATTACATGTGTATCGTGGTACAAATAACATGGATTATAAGTATATCGTGGTACAAATAACATGGTTTACATGTATATCGTGGTACAAATAACACGGATTACATGTATATCGTGGTACAAATAACACGGATTACATGTATATCGTGGTACAAATAACACGGATTACATGTGTATCGTGGTACAAATAANGATTACATGTATATCGTGGTACAAATAACATGGATTATAAGTATATCGTGGTACAAATAACATGGTTTACATGTGTATCGTGGTACAAATAACATGGTTTACATGTGTATCGCGGTACAAATAACATGGATTACATGTGTATCGTGGTACAAATAACATGGATTATAAGTATATCGTGGTACAAATAACACGGATTGCATGTATATCGTGGTACAAATAACATGGTTTACATGTATATCGTGGTACAAATAACATGGTTTACATGTATATCTTGGTACAAATAACACGGATTTCTTGTATATCGTGGTACAAATAACACGGATTATAAGTATATCGGGGTTACTGCAGTACATCACAACTCAAAGACCTTAAAAGGAAAAGGACTATTTAGGAAGGCCATATGGTGAACAAGAATACTAAAGTAAACACGACAGACAGTTATTTCTACATTACCTGCACATCGCAGAACGTTTCTGAAATCCATGTCTAAGTCACATGAACAGACTCTGTGAGAATGGCGTATATTCTGATGAGTATACTATTCAGTATGTTATAACGAGAAAACCCCTAGACTGGTATGTACAAAGAATACAGTACACACAATGAGGTGTAATGAACTCGTCCTGGAATGCAGGGTTTGGTGTAAGATGTTGTTATTTACGACAGATAGACGGTAAGTCGAGCTACTGGTACGGACCGGGTCCTGAAGCTGGAGCCATACTACCGGTAGTAGAGCCCGACCCCAGGACGTGATGTAACGGCATCAGCAGGGCGCCCCGGGCTACCATGTGGGGGAAAATATTCTAAAAGAACAGTCTAACCTGTCTACAGCGACCGTTCAGGGGAGGAGTAAAAACGGTCGCCATAAAATGAAGCCTACAAAATACTGCGCAAATCAACTGTATGTTTGTAATGTGCACTCTGAATTGGAGACGGTTTATCTTTTGTACATGTAACATCGTGTTGAGGAGAGTTTTCTTACAAAAGATAAAGACACGTACTTGTACAGTATATGTTTGGTATTGTGTAAAAAATAGATGTGTTCAAATTAAATAAAAACAGTCTTAACAGTTATCTTCACAATTTTTTTATTGCTAACTAATTTTGTATAAAACTTACTTATTAGAACGGTACATACAATTTATCACGAATTTAAAAGAAACATTTGAACATGTGTCGTAAGTAAGCACAAACATATCGTCTTTTAGCCAACCATCCACCCTATGAGACACTTTCCTATAAGGCAATTCTGGAAGTCGAAAACCTTGGTGTAAACTCAACAAATACAATTCTGTATAATAAACAAATGGAGTGGATCCATATGCATTAAGTTTAGAAATCTCAAATTTACTACTTTATTTTTAGTGCATAACATGACTTTTTGTTAAGATTTTTTTTTTATTAAGTTTTGATTAAAATTTTTCGTTGCGTACATTACTATAACAAACGGACAGATACACAGATATATATATTTTTACGTACGGTGTACGTTACTATAACAAACGGACAGATACACATATTTATATATGTTTACGTATGGTGTATGTTACTATAACAAACGGACAGATACACAGATATATATATTTTTACGTACGGTGTACGTTACTATAACAAACGGACAGATACACAGATATATGTATTTTTACGTACGGTGTACGATAATTACTATAACAAACGGACAGATACACAGATATATATATTTGTACGTATGGTGTATGTTACTATAACAAACGGACAGATACACAGATATATGTATTTTTACGTACGGTGTATGTTACTATAACAAACGGACAGATACACAGATATATATATGTTTACGTACGGTGTACGTTACTATAACAAACGGACAGATACACAGATATATATATGTTTACGTATGGTGTATGTTACTATAACAAACGGACAGATACACAGATATATATATGTTTACGTACGGTGTATGTTACTATAATTACGTACGGTGTACTTTACTATAGCGACTGTGATAAATGAACACGAACCAAAATGTGTGTAATATAAAGACTTTTTATATATACAATTTGTATATACTGTATTACCGTCCACAACATCTAGGTAATCGTTTCGCAGTTGTGTATTCTAGGTACACATGGAAAGGGTTCTTCTACAAAAAGATACATGTTTTAATTCAATGACAAATTGTGATCATATATATTTTTTTAATAATGTATATAATTCTACTGTGGATAATAAGAATAGTTTCTACTGATAATATTACTCAGTCAGGTAATTACAAGTATAGCTATATTTTGAGCGGCTGTTTACCCCGATCTACAGAATTACTCGTCCAGAACAGGTCATCCGTACAATCACGTTTAAGCGCACGTGCGAGTGAGTGGATTGATGATTGCTGTTATCAAGTGTATATGGCGAAAGTGCACTGCATACATGTGTGACCCTAAAGAGTTCCCGTGTCAAGGTGTATTTTGTTCATTACAATTCAGTCCGTGAAATGAGAATTGCAATTTATTTAGATATTCTTGTACATGGATAATACAATATAGGTATTTTTTATATGAATTCTGATGATCTACGTGTTTCTAATAAGCACATACTTATGTAACAAGGAAAAACTGAGAACAAATCACGCGCTTGAATATAGGCTAGCACGTGATCACGTTAACCAATGAAATTGCTCGTAAACATGTTCAGCCAATCAGAGTTGGGGACTGACAAAGACATAGTAGCATTTAACATTTCGGCGCGAGTACACCATTGCGAGAAACTGACTGACTGAGCTGGCCGTGGTAAGTGTATTTGCCTATCTTTTTGTATTTTCCATATTCTGTGTGTTATGTTAAGCATTTACGATTATTTGAGAACCTTTACATATAACTGTAGCGTACTGTCCTGTCCAAATCATTAATCAATTTTGTTGATTTATATCATATTTTGTTCATCTGCTACACTAGCATTTAGGATTTTGAATAGTTCTTTTAGTTAATACGATTTTTTTTATACATTGCTTTTGTGAATGCTTGATTTCTCTGAAGGGGATTTTGAACTTAAATAAATATGTTAAAATAGTAGTTTAAATAGTTTTTGTCAGGGGTATAAACAGATCCACGGTTTGTGCTTAAAAGAACCTTACGGAGTTACCTCATTGTACTATGAATAATCCTTATATTTATTTTATCAACTTATTTAAAACGTGTCCGTCTTTCTCCAGGGTCCATTGACTTTTTCATTGATAAATAAAATAAGGCACGCAGCATTTAAAAAATTAAATATTTTGATGAACATACGTTATCCCGTTTAGACAGTGCCTATTATAAGCATGTTAAACGGTGATGATGTAGGAATTTTCTTTGATAAACCAAGGACTGGGTTAAGTTTGATTACTGCATTCCTGAAGTTTTAGAGGGTTAACAAATCCCCACATCATTGATACTTGTTGTAGGGAGATGACTATAACTGATTTATGCATATATTTCTGGCTTCTAATGTCAGACAGCTCCAGTACAATCTTAGGGGCCCAATAACTATTACAGCTGTGGTTTGTATATACCTATCCTGATGTGAGGAGAATAATATTAGACGTTTTAACGGGTAAGATCGATTCGGTTTGGCATTTTACCGAGAATTGATCTAAAACCATTAAACGTCTATTCTTTACAAATCAGATAGGTCGACGCAAACCAACTGTAACAAGTTCTCAAGTCCCTGTGCATACAACCTGTCAATAGAGCTATATAGCCATAAAGACCTATAAAACGTTATCGGAGAAATCAGATGTCTAGAAATTACCATACAATAAAGCCTTTTATAAATGTAGCTGTAACTAATTTAGAATTCGTATTTCAGTTTTAAACACCATTCTCTAAATGAACAGATCCAGTGTGCCGATTGAGTTATGTAGCTGTAACTAATGAACAGATCCAGTGTGCCGATTGAGCTATGTAGCTGTAACTAATGAACAGATCCACTCTGCCGATTGAGCTATGTAGCTGTAATTAATTAATATATCCAGCCTGCCGATTGAGCTATGTAGCTGTAACTAATGAACTGATCCAGTCAGCCGATTGAGCTATGTAGCTGTAACTAATGAACAGATCCAGTGTGCCGATTGAGCTATGTAGCTGTAACTAATTAATAGATCCAGCCTGCCGATTGAGCTATGTAGCTATAACTAATGAACAGATCCAGTCTGCCGATTGAGCTATGTAGCTGTAACTAATGAACAGATCCACTCTGCCGATTGAGCTATGTAGCTGTAATTAATTAATAGATCCAGCCTGCCGATTGAGCTATGTAGCTGTAACTAATGAACAGATCCAGTCTGCCGATTGAGCTATGTAGCTGTAACTAACTTAGAGATCCAGTCTGCCGATTGAGCTATGTAGCTGTAACTAATGAACAGATCCAGTCTGCCGATTGAGCTATGTAGCTGTAACTAACTTAGAGATCCAGTCTGCCGATTGAGCTATGTAGCTGTAACTAATGAACAGATCCAGTCTGCCGATTGAGCTATGTAGCTGTAACTAACTTAGAGATCCAGTCTGCCGATTGAGCTATGTAGCTGTAACTAATGAACAGATCCAGTCTGCCGATTGAGCTATGTAGCTGTAACTAACTTAGAGATCCAGTCTGCCGATTGAGCTATGTAGCTGTAACTAATGAACAGATCCAGTCTGCCGATTGAGCTATGTAGCTGTAACTAACTTAGAGATCCAGTCTGCCGATTGAGCTATGTAGCTGTAACTAATGAACAGATCCAGTCTGCCGATTGAGCTATGTAGCTGTAACTAACTTAGAGATCCAGTCTGCCGATTGAGCTATGTAGCTGTAACTAATGAACAGATCCAGTCTGCCGATTGAGCTATGTAGCTGTAACTAACTTAGAGATCCAGTCTGCCGATTGAGCTATGTAGCTGTAACTAATGAACAGATCCAGTCTGCCGATTGAGCTATGTAGCTGTAACTAACTTAGAGATCCAGTCTGCCGATTGAGCTATGTAGCTGTAACTAATGAACAGATCCAGTCTGCCGATTGAGCTATGTAGCTGTAACTAACTTAGAGATCCAGTCTGCCGATTGAGCTATGTAGCTGTAACTAATGAACAGATCCAGTCTGCCGATTGAGCTATGTAGCTGTAACTAACTTAGAGATCCAGTCTGCCGATTGAGCTATGTAGCTGTAACTAATGAACAGATCCAGTCTGCCGATTGAGCTATGTAGCTGTAACTAACTTAGAGATCCAGTCTGCCGATTGAGCTATGTAGCTGTAACTAATGAACAGATCCAGTCTGCCGATTGAGCTATGTAGCTGTAACTAACTTAGAGATCCAGTCTGCCGATTGAGCTATGTAGCTGTAACTAATGAACAGATCCAGTCTGCCGATTGAGCTATGTAGCTGTAACTAACTTAGAGATCCAGTCTGCCGATTGAGCTATGTAGCTGTAACTAATGAACAGATCCAGTCTGCCGATTGAGCTATGTAGCTGTAACTAACTTAGAGATCCAGTCTGCCGATTGAGCTATGTAGCTGTAACTAATGAACAGATCCAGTCTGCCGATTGAGCTATGTAGCTGTAACTAACTTAGAGATCCAGTCTGCCGATTGAGCTAT